TGAATTCTGGGAGGTACTCTGAACAGTAGTGATGTACACATGTAATGAAGAATCAATGCACAATGATTTCAGCTGATGTGGGTAAGGTTTTCGTAGGACTTGGCGTATATAGCAGAGCACGGTACCGCAGGGTTGAAGTCGTTTGCTTTCAATCCATCGACGGCAAGCCTTAGATGAATTTAGATTACAGGGAAACGGTCGTCCTTAGATCATAGACGATCATAGAGAGTTGTGTGTGTCGGTTGTGCACAGATGTAAGATGTGATGATGTGGCCACGTGCAAATCAGTCGTTTAGATCCCACCGCGCCCCTCATAGATGCAAATCTTAGATCACGAAGGGATGGCAATGCGTAGATGATAACTGTGTGTGTGTGTATGAGGCGCGTGATGTTATAGCCATCGGATCCTGGTGTGTGTTACCACTATGAAATCAAGAGGGCGTGTTGCAGATTTATAGAAATAAGCTTCCCAGAAAGTGACTACTATAAATTCACAAGCATAGATTCAGGCATTGAATAGCATGAACTTTTGGAAGAGAGCACAAGAGACAATGAATTGACGTCTATGATTCTATAGCAATCACATTGTTTGTAGAAATTGTGGCGCAGACCAAACACCAACATAATTCAATAGAGAGACCTGTGCCTGTGTGCCACAGAGACTGCAACTTTATAGTGAAATGATTTCATGGCAAAAAAACTAATCTTCATCAATGTCTCTGAAATCATAGTGCAAATTGATGGAGAAAATATACAACATTGATTAAACAACCAAAAAAATCGTATAACAATTTTGACATGTTCTTTTTTGATTCTATATTTTTGACCGATTTTTTGACTGAATCAACAATTGCTATAGAATCTGAGCACGACTTGCTCTCCGGACTAATTTCTATAAAAACTTGGGGGACATCAGGTGGTTTTGTCTGTGCACCCCATTTTATATTGTGTTTTTGGGCATCTGCTCAATATCTTTGTCTACCTCCTGGTCCTTAGTAGAGTTGATTCTATATTGATGTTCCTGTATGATAGTAAGTCAGGCATTTGAATTTTATAGTGCTAAGATACCCCAGGCAGACATGCACCCACCGATTTATAGCTATAAAATGGGGTGGACAAGTCACGAAAGCTAGCGAAGCTAGCTGGAGTTACTCTTGCGATAGCAAGGTTTCTTTCGACGGGGTGCAAATCCTAACCCCTGATTTTTCAGGTCGAAGACCCCCCCCTCCCCCTCCTCCCCTCTTCCCTCTCCCCTCTCCCCACCCCACCTCCCCTCTCCTCCTCCTTGTCTTCCTCCCACCTTCCCTCCCTCCCTCCCTCCTCCCTCTTCGCAAGTTCGACTCCGTCCTGTCGTCGCTCTTTGGCATGCGGTTAGCGTTGCGTATCTTGCGGCCGCACTCGCTCACTCTCACTCTCACTCTCACTGTCTCACTGTCTCACTGTCTCACTGTCTCACTGTCTCACTGTCTCACTGTCTCTCTCTCTCTCATCTCTCTCATCTCTCTCATCTCTCTCATCTCTCTCATCTCTCTCATCTCTCTCATCTCATCTCTCTCTCCTCTCTCTCTCTCTCCTCTGTGTCTCTCGTCTTTCCGTCTCTCTTCTCTCTCTTCTCTCGCAGGAGGATCCGGGCAAAGAGCCACATATAAAGGACTCTTCACCCCTGCCTCCAAAAAGAGTGCCGTGTTTTTTCCTACCTCGCTGCCCTCCACTTTCCCATTCTGGAGCGCTAGCTTTCGCCCTCTCCCTTGGCCTCAAGTAGCTATGGGAACACAAGGGGGTGCCATCGGTGCGTCCGTGACCCACTTTTTTCCATGTGTATGTGACCCCTCCGATGCGTACGTGCCTTCCGATGCGCAAGTGACCCCAAACCGATGCGCAAGTGGCTCCCCTGGGACAGCTGGATGCCGCACAAGACGAGGGGTTCGCCACCTCGAGCCATAAGGCCTACGTCCTCTTGGACTTTCCCCGTGGTTGGGGTCGGCCGTGCACGGGGGGCGTCGGTCAGGTGTAATCCTGTTTCACTTCCTGTCGACCGCCCGGACGGGAAAAAAACAACACGTTTCGACCGGCAGGGGCCACCTGAAGAAGAAAGGGTCGCGCGCGCACTTGGCATGATGACAGGGTGGCGCAAAATAGGTCAAAATAGGATACGCGTGGCGGAAGGGAGTGACGCTAATGGGAATGATGATGCATGATTTCCTGGCCCGGAAATGATTCTGCGTCTTCCCCCATTTTTTCGGCAGAAACTCTGTTTCAGCCATTTGTGGCCCTTTTCGATCTAGCAAGGGTGGCTCTCCCAGCCTTCGCAACCGCATATGCCAGCATCAAGTAAAACCGTCGGTGCCGAAAAAAGAGCGGGCACCGTCAAACTGCCTTGACGGGTGGGGGTGGTTTGGCAGACTTGACATGAAAATTGTTCCACCTCCCCATGAACGATGCCAATTTCATGCAGCATTCCGTGCAGGATTCCCTGGCAGAACTGCCTTGGCCATTGTTGTGCTGCTCCCTTGGCTAACGTAAGGACATGTCTTCCCTGGCTGTCAGAATCATCAAGAGGCATGACTGCAGATGGTTTGGCCCGGTGCTCTTTGGAAGGGGTGTTGTTCACTTGTCATGACCGTCACATTCCCACTCCGTGACAATAGTGCACATGACCCTCGTGTTCCATGTCCTATGGCCTTGCATGACGTTGCCTTGGCCCTGCCCAAGCTTTCACAGTCGGCGCTCGAGCAACTGCTTTTGCCATCCCCGACGTGGCTGCGTTTTCACTGGCATGGTTCGCAGGTGGGCTCGCAGGTGTGTATGGGATGACAAGAGGGCCTACTCGTTGTGTGTGGGTCATGGTCCGGGCCGGGCTCGTCGTTTAAGCGCCCAGCCTGGGCAGGGCCTTTCCACCTGTGGCCAGGGCCTGTGCAAACTTTATGGTGCCGTTCGCTCATCTAAACCAAATGCCACGCAGGCCGAAATTGAGCGCCCTGGCACCGTGTGTGCTGGCAGACGTTTTTGAGTTCTCCCGCTTTGAACGCTTGTTGGGTTTACAGTTTTGATTGTGAGGGCGGTGGCAAAACCAACCTGTTTTGGGTGACGATGTCCCAGGACGGTGGCATGTATGAACGCGAGTTGCGGCTGATTTTGAATTGCATTCTTTTGCAACTGCTTTTCAATGTCGGGGCCTCAGGCATGCATGCCGGCGCATTGGATTACCAGTTTTGAGCCAGCGCGGGTTTTGCATATTGCAGCTGCCAAGCCCGATGCCAACTGAACATAGTGCAAGGTTGTTTCCGCACAGATTGGGTAGGAGAAGACAAATACGTTTTTTTGAAGTAATGCGTTTGACATGATGGATTTGTCAATTGGAAAGGAACGCTTCATTTCATTTCAGGTTGTTGGAACCATGTGCCACGAATCCAAGTGGACATGAATCCTGAATTGCGCGCCCAAGATGTCAACGATGCATGTGGTTTCAGACTGGGATGCAAGGGACGGATTCCGACCCGTTATTTCCCCAATAGCACTAATTTGCGGTTGTACACTCCTTAGGCTGGGCGCCGTGGGGTCCCCGGCCTCGTTGTGTCCCAGTTATGTTATCGCCGTGTCTCAGGCTCGGTCGTGTGTCTGTGATTTGTGCCGCTGGTGCGATGTGCGCGCGCTGAGACATCATATTGCACGCGATCATATTGCACGCGAATGTGAACAATTTCCGCTACGTGTAAAAACGTGAGCTGGCGAACAATCATTGTCCTGCCTATTCTTGAGCACCTTCGGCCTTTGCACTTGCATGTCCAAACGCGCAGCTTCTGTGGGGCGAATACAGAAATTAAGTTTCCTTGGAAAACTGGACCAAAAAATTGGATTCATTACATACGTCGTGTATTTAAGGCACCCGTCCTTGAAAATACATGTGCGTGTTCCTTTGGTAGTGCTATATTGTCATTGTTGTCATATGTTCATACATGTTCATACTGGTCCCTTGGGAGGTCCTTTCAATGTCATTCTTTGTCCGTGTGGAGGTTGTGTGCGCCCATGTCTAAATATCGTGTTTGGCGCGATTTTTTTGGTGTATGCTTTCAGCTGGCACTTGACTAATTCTTTTTGGCGAGTATGTTTTTCGAATGCAAGAATCGTGCACGGGCACTTGAGCATAGATGTCGGCCATCGGCAAGCATTACGTAAGTGCGTCGTGGTTAAAAAGAAAAAACTACATGTTAGTTGTTCGTATAGTGAACTCGTTTTAGTAGCTTGTTGTTTAAACGTTGGGATTGCATTTCAATTTTTTCTGGTGTTGGTGGTGAATCTTTAGCGACATGTAAAAAACTGTTTGCTTGAGACTGGTGTCGTCCGTGTATGAGTCGTGCGTTGGCACATGTGCTTACAGTCATTGCTTCGATGTATGCTTCCGGCTTATGGTCGTAAGATATGATATCAATTTTTGTCATTCGCTTGGTTCGCGCACTTTTGCAAAAGAATTCCTGCGTGTCCAAGAGTGTGTTTTCGATGGCACCAATACTCAAAGTATGTCCTCTCTGGCTACTGTGTTCCTTGCACCTTTCGTGTATATTTTTTTCTTTCGTCCTTCAATACATTTTTTCTTTGGTGGTAATATTTTTTGTCATTTGTGTGACATTATGTCCGGATCCGTCCTTGTCCGAGTACGAAATGCACCTACAACTGTGTGGTTTGGTGATAAAACATTTGTGATCATTGGACCTCTGTCATATCTTGTTCATTGTCAAAATACAATTTGCGCTCATATACACCCCTCCCTGTTGCGAATCTTTTGGTGTGATGTATTAAAATGTTTCTTCAGATGCGCCGCGCGCAGGCAATTGAACACTTGAGTATACAATTCGGCCATCGGCAGAGGTTTCTGAAGATCTTCGTGGTCTTAAGGAACATACATACTTCTTGGATAAGGAACTCGTTTGTGTAACTTTACTTTGTCTAAATTTTGTTGGTGGAAGATTGTCGTCGACATGTAAAAACTGCCTTGTTGACATTGTTTTTTTGGTGCATGGTTAATATATAAGTCACGCGTTGGCACATGTTCATACATCCATTGTTTGGGTGTTTTTTCTTTACTTGTGAACATTTGCGCGTTTGCGTGTCCACACGTGTATTTTGCCTGGTGCCAACAACGGAATTTTGTTGTATGCCTGAAAAAGTGCCTGAAGATGATCGCCACAAGAAAACGAACCATGTCTAGAATCAAAAGCATTACCCCTTCAAACCTGAAACCTCTATATAGAGTCATAGGGCCTGAACTTAAAAATAAACATTTATTTCTTTTCATGTCTTTCTTTAAAATATCAGGTGGTCCAACCTTCAATTATGTTTCCACACCCTCCACCCTCGTGTTTAAGAATTGAGTGCCAGACTACCCTTTTAAGATTGCAAACAGCAGAGTATAAGCACGCCCGATTTCAGACAGGTTATTTGCAGAATGATTTATCGTGTATAAACAATACGTCCGTTCTTAACTGCATTTTCTGTGTGGTTTGGTGATGAAAATTTGTGATCATTGGTATTGACATATATATATATATATTATTCTTGTTTGTGTATATGTATATATGCTGCTCATTCTTTGTCGGAATGCAACTTGCGCGCATACACACCCCCCCCCTGGTGCGAATTTTTGGTTGTGTTGTATTGAAATGGTTCTTCAGACATATGCAGCATGCGCAGACACTTGAAAACTTTTATGTTCATCGGCCATCGGTAAACATTTCTGAAACGTTTCGTGGGCTATGGAACATACAGTTTTCTGGATATTGAATTTGTTCGTGTAGTTTTGTGTAGAATTTGTGGATTGCATTTGATTCATTATTCTTTTAAAGATTGTCCTCGATATTCGATATGTGAAAAACAGTGCAAACCAACAGTGCACGCAGAAAGAATCCGCCAGATCTTGGAGGATGCTCTGCCACTGGGGTTACTGTAACGTTAGCAACCACAGTACAATCCGAATACGGATGGCAGCGCCCTTGAAATGCGAAACCATTGTTGCATGACATGTTCCTTGCGCTTGGCGCAAGAACTCTTGTGCATTGTAATTTTCAACGTTAGCCCGTTACCCCCTAATAGGTATGGGTTGACACCATGCTGGTGCAGTTTACCCGTTTGCACTTTGCAACCCGTGGTTTCCCCGCACCATATCTTCCACTGACAAGCTGGACGTGAACAACTGGATTTTGTTCTAAGGAACATGATCCTGAATTCGCTCAATCCTTAGACAAGGGCGGGTACCTCAGCAAGTCATCGCTTGTCGAAAAAATAAAGACCGCCCTCCTTTTCAACGATTCAACAGGGCATTGTTGCAACGCAGGCTGTGGTCGGATGGGCGCATCCCTTCCGTCCTTGCTCTTGGACGTGTTGCCAACGTTGTTGATGTGCAAACTTGGGAGACATGTGTGTTTTGACCAGTTGTGGTGATTTTCCTTTCTGAATCATTCTGAATCAATACGGTGCACAGTTTGGCGCAAAACGACCAGCCGCATCATGGGACATGTCCATCTCGATTTTTGCATGGCGAACTTCATGCCAGGCAGCGATGACATGCTTGGTAACAGAGAAAGTGTTACCCATCAAAAAGGCGGGGGGACCAAATGGGCAAACACAGAAAAAATATACAGATGATTATAGATGTAAGCTGCTCAAAACCCCTGTGGAGATTCCACGGTCTGTTCGTTTGCCCAAGATTGTCCTTCTGTTGCTGCGGGTGCTGCAGCGCATGCTCTCTATCCCAGACAAGGCTGGTTGAAGGTTGAAAACGTAGAAACTAGCTGCTCATTCGTGGTCACCACTGTTTTTGTCGCTTCCCTTTTCTGAACTTTGAGTGGCAGGTATTGTATCCTGTCTCTGAAAGGCGGCAAGGCAGCTTTGCACCTTGCAAAGTCGCAATTTCTCGATCGTATGGGCATGCATGACAATGTCGAGGGGGTGTGGACGAATGATGTTGTGCATAACCTCATAATGAACAACCATGAACAAACTAAGCAGTTACCTCCCATCATTTGTGTGAAACCGTTAGTACGTAACCAGCCCTCGTGCATCCAGGCGAGACGTTAGCCTGCCAGCGTGGTCACCTCAGAAAATTTGCGGTGCCTGTAGTCACTGTTTTTGCCCTAGTCCCTGTAGTCACTGTAATTCACATTTTTTAACGTGCGAATGGTCAGGCCCTCGAGTCATGGACTTTCAAGCGTTCACCTCTCTGCACCTTCACCGAAGGCAAGATGTAGAATGTAGAACATGTAAAACCCAGACAGGCTTGCCATGTGAAAGCAAGCGGGGAAGTACCAAGTGGAACACCAGCAACCCACATAAAGCACAGGCATGTCCACTTCAAACTTTGTGAACACATGTGTTTAAATCAAGGATGTAGCAGGTAATCAAGACAGATGACAATTGTTTGTTCCCTGTTCATCTCACCAGCCTTTCTTTAGTTAAACTCGGTGGATTAGCATGCATGGCAAGGTCCCCAGACAAAGACTGAAACAATGAGAGACTGTCAACAGCAGGCAAATACGATCCAAGTATGGCGGCAGTACCGAGCTTGGCCGCGAGTTGCGTTGTGATGTTGTCCTTCTGAGAGGAGGTGCCACTGGGCCCCGTCAATTTTAGATATGTCTGAGAGTCTGTAAGGCAGTCTTCCGCCAAAAAAGGAACGCTACCATACGGATTCTGCGGAAAGTACGTAAATCCGGAACTGAGGTGGTTACCCTGCGGCGGTTGAGGAAGGTTTGAAGCTGGCAGCCCAGTACGAGGATGGGGTCTCTACTGGGCTGATTCTTTATTCAACACCGCCGTATTATTGTATCGTATTAAGTCGCTGCAACAGCCTCAAACTAGTGCTGCATTTACATGGCAGGGTCACAGCGTTCTTCAAAGAATTTCCAAACTCAGAACGTGGTAAATACCTACTGTATATATGTACACATGTATACAGCTTGAAGCTTGCAACCACTGTATATACACGCAAAAAATCTGGCGTGGACAGCCTACAATGACAAGGCGTTGTTGCCTGTTGGAAGCAAGCACTTTCCGTTTGTGCCTGCGCTAGGATGAATTCTTGGCAGCGTATGCGCAAGACTCCAAGATGATTTCAGTATAACAAGCACCTGGTTCTATATTGTCTATATTGGACAATGCGGAGAATCGGCACAGCGAGAGAGGGAGGATGGTGGCATTGTCGGCATCCCGCCTTACTGTACCGATGAGGTTCCACCCTAGCGAGTTGGATTTCATGAAGGATTCCCCTGCCGGGGTGCTCAACGTTTGCCCAGGGTCAGCTGCTGAATCGGACCTATGATCAGACCTGCGGGGTGCCCTTTACAGATTGATGTTGGACAATAGTTGATTGTTCTTTAGATAGAGAAGTTCATGAAGGATTCTCTTTCACCTTTTCTATAAACACCGATGTTTGTTTTTTGTATAGTTTGCGAGTTTGACATTCAGCATGCAGCATTCAAAAAAGACAATTTGAAGCATATTCCATTAAATTCCAAGGGTTTTTTGGTGCTGTACACATTAGTCATGGGTCGACATTTGAAAAATGAAGTCGAGGTTATTTGCTACCACAATAGTCCAAGGTCATTATTTTTCCAACCGTAGTTATTTCCACATATGCCAAGGATTGTCAAGGACACCCCAAATAAGATATTGTCCCAAGGTAGCCATTTAGTTGCTGCGTTTTGGGCGTCCGTGCGCACTTACTAGATTTGCACGACAAATGACCAGCCACAGCCAAGACTCATCGAGTGCTTGACGGAGACCGCTGTGGTCCTTTGATTCTCCCACCTGGCCGCAGGCCCTGAGGGATGCATACCTCAGATACGAGGCTGGATGGTGTTAGTGGGTAGCCTAAGCTTTCCGGCGTCAAAGGCCTTTGAATCGCCACTCACAACACCTCAGTTCTCCGTGAAGCATCGGCAAGTTTGCCTTTGCCCAGCCCAAGATTTGGGCAGGAACTTCGTGCAATGCCTGGTTCACGCGGCTGTGGGCGGTCGGTGCCACCAAGTGGACGCTTGGAGTTGGGGGGAAACACTAGACTGAGTGTTTCCATGGTGCACCATGGTACCAATCAAGGACTCATTCAGATCCGCCCTTGCTATTGAAAGCGTGAACCAAGGATAATCCAGGTACGTAGTAAAAGCAGCCCAAGGAGCATGACCACGTTCAAATGAGCAGCATTTGGTAGCAGGATGTAGCAGGTTTTCTCGCACCTTTGATTCCGAGCTGGAAAGCTGTGCTTGGACTGACGTAGGCTGCCAATGACTGCCACAGTTATCACCACCACATATCTCCTCATTGCACCGTTGTGCAGCCTAAGTTGTGCGTGTTCATTGTGTGTCAGTATGTGGAACCTGCTGAATCCAGCAACGCCAAGGCTACTACCGCGTGCAGCTCGAAAAGCAAGACAGAACTTGTCCAGGACCTCAATCTTGTGGCAATTGAAACGATTCGGAACCATCTTCGCCCTTCTGAACCAGCTTTTCTATGTTTTTCTCTCAATCGGATTCCAAACCACCGACATGCACGGCACACTTGGGTAGCAATGCGCCCACTACCATGATAAAGAGGGCTCTTGTTTGCTTTCATTTCGCTTCCCTTTTGCTCTGGACTGCTGTGGTGCACTCGTATGGATTCCCCTTGAGGGCTGCATGCTCTGAGGCCCCGTCCTGGTGAACTGCTACCGGCTGTGACGCTCTCAGCCAATGGCTAGCAGTTTGTTGAAAGTTTGACTCATTTGGAGTAAGGTAGTCACAGGAAAGCATGCAGTATTGTTGTCAGTGGACTGAGTCCGAACATTTTTCATTTATCCTGACGTGTGGGGTTATTGTTTTTAGTGCTGTATCCGCTCCCCTCTCCTCCTCCCGCCCTCCCGCCCAACCAACAAACAACCAACAACCAACAACCAACCCACCAAGCACCAACCAACCACCAACCAACAACCCAGCAACCCACCAACCACCAACAACCACACACCAACCACCAACCAACCACCAACCACCAACCAACAATCCACCAACCAACCAACAACCAACCAACCAACAACCACCACCAGCCACCAACTACCAAGCACCAACCACAAAACAACCACCACCAACCACCAACCACCAACCACCAACCACCACCCACCAACCAACAACCCACCAACCACCACCAACAACCCACCAACCAACAACCCACCAACCAACAACCCACCAACCACCACCACCAACAACAACACCAACAACCAACAACCAACAACCAACAACCAACAACCAACAACCAACAACAACAACAACAACAACAGCAAAACAAAACAAAAACACAAACAAAGACAACAACAAGAACAAGAACAAGAATCAAGAATCAAGAATCAAGAACAAGAAGAACAACAAGAACAAGAAGAACAACAAGAACAACAACAACAGCAGCAGCAGCAGCAGCAACCACCACCACCACCACCGCCACCACAACCACCACAACCACCACAACCACCAACCACCACCTACCACCCACCACCCACCACCCACCAACCACCAACCACCAACCACCAACCAACAAGCAACCACCAACCACCAACCAACAAGCAACCGCCAACCACCAACAACCACCAACCACCAACCAACCACCAACACCAACCGGTTTGATTTGCGCGGCAGCAGCAGCACTTGGTGCTCTCCAAGGGGTCGGATGCACGCCCTGGCGTCGCCCTGGTGCTCCTAGGTCGCCGCCGCTCTGCCGGTGTGATTTGCGTAGCAGGCGCAGCATTTGGTGCTCAATGTGCGCCTGGCGTCGATCTGGTGCTCCTGGGTCGCCGCCACTTGATTTGCGTGGCAGGCGCAGCACTCCAGGGGGTCGGATGTACGCTCTGGCGTCGCCCTGGTGCCCCTTGGTCGACCTTGGAAAGGTGTATGTACAGCTTGTTGCATGTTCACGCAATTGCGTGCGCGTACCAAGAAGGTTGGACTTTGGACATTTTGGGCTCCACCACTTCAGAAGTTGTTGTCCAAAAAGGGTGCTTTTTTGATCCGAACTGGGCGGGGATATAAAGAGGGTTTGACTTTGGACGTTTTCGGTTCCAGCAAGTCTGGCGGCTCTCATGATATTGATCTGTTGCCCTTGGCCATCCTCACTGCCTTTGCAACGTACTCGGAGAGAAGCAGTGCTCCCTGGAAAGGTCTACAGCTTGTTGCGTGTTCACTCTAGTCTTTGTGCTAATAAGTTGCTATTCAAAAGGGTGCTTTTTTGATAGCAATTTTGTGCGGGTACAGAGAGTGTTGGACTTTGGACATTTTGGGTTCACCACTGATCTTGAGCAGGACACCGCGAGCTGCCGACTTCAAGCTACAGGACATTAAGCTACAGGACATTTGTGTCCTGTACAAGCACACGTGGTCCATCACTTGCGCGCTCCACCACCATGCACACGCACACGCACACAAGCATACACACGCAGGCACAGCCAGACACACCATCAACGCTCGCTCACTCTCATCCTTCCTCCACCCCTCTTTTCTAACCGCGTTTCTTCTTCTTCTTCTTTTTCTTCTTCTTCTTCCTACAGGGACTGTGTCTGGTGAAGTTCTTAACATGTGGGGTTATCCGGTCCTATACTTTTGTGCAGCGAACATTATATAATGAGTCTGCAAGGTGTGCCCTGAATCACTGGAAAGTCATCATGCTGGAGGCGCTTGATGAATAATGTGGCAAACACGGTGTTCTGAACAGTCTTGGGCTGCCAATGTGGTGGCTTTTTGGTGGTATGGGCCAATGGGTGGGTTCATGTTTCGAACCTCCCAGCCGTGGAACTGCTTGACGAAGCCCGTGTGTCAATTGAGCCGAGCGAGCTGCACACATGCCAGGCTCACATGGTGAACAATACGCGGGTATAGGTAGAAGATCTGTTGGAGAAGAGTTTCAAGCAAATCTTGGGCAGGGCAGGGCCTTGAAAGTGCTTGCTCAGCAGCGTGCAGTGTGCCACATTAAGTCTAAAGAACAGTCACACAATGTGTGTTTTGTTAAGTTGAAGAGCGGCAGGAACATGCGTAGCCAGCTAGAAAGGCCCTTCGGTCACTGTCCAGGCCTTGACATGCCGAGTGCATCATCGAGAGAGTCTAGCCGATAGCCAAAGGGAAGGAAGGGGGCCCATGTGATAGACGTGTGCGGACATGTTCACAGCATCCCTTTTTGTCCAAATAGTTGCTCCTGACATTCACTGGGCCCGATCCTGAAATCATTTCTGGAAGCTGGCCAGCTTAGGCCTCTCTGACTCAGTGCGATCTCAACTATCCGTGGCCTCCGCTGTGACAGAGGCTAAGACTATGTGCCGCAAATCTGACCGTGAAATTAGAAACAGTTAAATATAGGATGTTAAATGGTGTACAGTATAATTTGCTATCAGTTGCTCTTGCATCGCGAGTGCGAGCCTAGCAGGTGCCCTTGGAGTTCGACGTGGCAAGAGGAGATTTAAAGGCCGATTCCTGAGAATGAGCCCCAAGCCAGGAGTAGAACTTTGTTTCACAGCCTGCTCATAGAGCACCTGGTGACCTAGTGCGGCGCGGGCAGCGACTTAGGCCACGCCGGTTGCTAGAGGCTTGTGTTAATTTGTGTTCTTGTTTGCGGTGACTGGCTTCTTGGAGTTTTGCATAGTTTGAAGTTGCTTGCTCTTTCACGAGGCCACACTAGATGATTCAGAGACCTCATGTTTGACCAACAACGACTGAACAGCTTGTGTCAATTGCAAGACAACAGGGCTCACACCATCAGGGCTCACTCCATCGTGTGCAGGGATTTGCCCACCAAGATGTGCTGCCTTTTGTTCTTTTTTGGACGCTATGGTAGGGTATATATATATATATGCGCTTGAAACTTTTGGCTCTACTGGGTGCTTTCACACATGCCTGGGATCTGTCAACTGCTTTGTTTCCATTGGCCTCTCATGATTTGGGCGTGATTTTTGACGTGTAGTTCAGGCGCCAGACGGTGGTTTGTCAGGTTCCATTTTGTGCGGTTCGCTGAACTTGTTGAACCTTGATCCCACACTGTACACAACTCTGGGCTGAGACGTCAGCAACTTGCATCTCTCTCCCTTTCTCTCTTTTGCTCTGTCCTTTTTTTGCACTCTTTGCTCCCTTCGTTCCTCTCTCTCCCTTCTCTTCTCTTTTTGCTCCATGTTTCTTTTCCTCTCTCTGCTCTCTCTCTCTCTCTCTCTCTCTCTGTCCCTCCCTCCATCCATCCTCTCTTTTCTCTTCTCTTCTGTTCTCTTTGCTCCGGGTATGCGACCAGTGCAGAGTTTCGGCATCGTGGGAGTCATTCTAGCACGTTTGGACGCTGTTTCTGACTCTCAGCCATAGGCGGTGACAAGCTGGACTCAGATGAGTCCTCTGCAGCAATTTGGCACAGGCAGGCTCTACAGAAAGCTGGTTCAACTCATTATATAGTTTGCTTGATCAAGGCAAAAATGTATGGACCGGTCTTGAAACACCAGCTTGCATCAGATTGAACATGCTCACACTTGCTCACCACTTGTCACTTGTGGGTGGATTCGAGTTTGTGGCCTATAGCCTATGGAGACTGAAGCTGGTAAAGCAACTTCATGTAGCGCAGCTCGCCCTGTTTTGGCGTTGAGGGAATTTTGATCTCCTGAAAATGGGAGGCTCTATGCTTCAATGTTGCCTCGCTTAACGGAGTTGGTGGTGCTTCTCCTACGGCTTTTGCTCACCTCTTGTGGGGCCGCTGAGACAAACATTGCATTTCTCCTGATTCTTTTCTTCCCAACTTTCTTCCCGCCAAAGCACATCATCACCTTTAGGTCTGTGGATGAGTATTGATCAATCTCCGGATTTCAGCGGATGGCTCTGTAAATGTCCACTTGGGCTCAAAACGAATCGCTGCCATCACAGTTCCTATTTTGCTGCCATCGCCGTCATGATTTGGGAGATGTAGATTGATGTGAAGATCAAACGATTTCCACGTTTCATCGTTTCAGGTTCCAATGTGGACACCTACTCGGGCATTGTGGACTTTGCTCGCGAGCGAAAGGCAGCCGAGCATGCCCAGGCGAACCTATTTGCTGGTTGCAGTCAGGCGAATCAACAGCACTACCAGTAGCTGTTCAACACCAACCCTGTATTCCATCCGGTGGCGAGCGGATTAGTCGGATTGCGGATCGTGTGTTCCATGGAGCTATTGTGAGACACCCAAACCATCGGGAGAGGGATAAAAAAACACACAAATAGGGATGAAGTAAAAAACAAATAGGGATCAACCAAAAAACAATCAGGGATCAATAAAAACACAAACATACATCAAGAAACAATACTTGGAAGAGACAAGCAAGAAAGAAAGACAGAACAAAAGAAAGACAGACAGACAGAAATAAATAAAGAAAGAAAGACAGATAAATTCAGAGAAAGACAGAGAGAGAAAGAAAGAAAGAGAGAGAGAGATAAAGAGAAAGACAGAGAGAGAGAGAGAGAGAGAGAAAGAAAGAAAGAAAGAAAGAAAGAAAGAAAGAAGTTGGCTCAAGATTTCGGCTCAAATAACAGGTGGCTCAAGCCGGGTTACCTGTCACGGAGCTGGACGGTGGCACTGGCACTTCCTCCTTGTGTTTGAGTTCGTCCAATCCTACCTGATTGGTGGCCGTGCCTTTGCTAGCTATCGAGATTGAAGGTGGCCTGACAGAGGTTCATGATGGTGTATGGATGGGAGTCTCCCAAGAAGAAAGCGAGGGCCTACTGCGTTTGCCATGGGTGCAACGAGTCATGGATCTGGAGAGATAGGATTTCCAGCACCAGATGGAACTGTGACAAATGCGGCACCGCATGGCCCTATGGACATCAGGGTTCCTATGGCTGGACACCCGGCCCACGGGCACAGAAGCCACGAGGAAGAGGCCGGCAGCAGGTTGAGCCTCCACCAGGGCTGATGGGGAAGGCTAAGTGTCCCAATGTTGTTAAGACGACCTTGAAGAAGGCTTGGACATCCTTGCCCTCCGAATGCCAAGCTGCCCTGAAAGGATTGGGTCTTGACTACACGCCGGAACCGGAACCTCAGCCACTTGAAGAACTTCTCAAAGCTCACCTGGCTTCCCTTCCAAAGGAAGTCAAAGATGTGGTTGAAGGACTTTTGGCCCCTGCTCCTATGACCAATGTTGATGTCACTGGTCAATTGAAAGCGACAGTGGGCGAGTTGCGGCAGCTGGCCACCAAGAAACAGTCTCTTCAGAAGAGAGTTGATCAGGCCAAGGAGCAGTACAAGAATTTGTTGGATGAGCTCAAGCAAGTGCAGGCGGCTTTGGACAAAGAGCATAAGACACTTGGTGACCAGTCAGAAGCCTATGCCAAGCAGCTCAAGGACGAAGCCTTGCCAGACACGCCGCCTGCTGAGCATGTGATGGACCCAGACACCACTGAGCATGTGATGAAAGCAATGGGTCAAGCTGGAATCATCTTCACTCTAGAGCAGCAAAAGGAGTTGGAGAGGAACCTTGCTGAGACACTTGCCAAGAGGCGCAAGACGGCAGCTGAGATCCCATTGAGTGGGTAACCCCAGCTGTGGCACTTTTCCTGGCAGGAAAAAGGGGATGATGCGGCCAATGGTGAAGGGGTCCTGTTGGCAGCGACAAATGAATGCTGATCATGTTAGCAGACTTGGGTCGTCAAACGATTGGGAATGTTTGACAGTTTGGGGTGCACACTCTCACATTGCAGGGGACAATGATGTGGGAGACTGCTTGGATGCATGGATGAGCATGGCCTCTGGACAAGGGCAATCACCTTGTGATTTGGTGCATGTGCCGCATCAAGGAATGCAGCCGTATGTGCATCATGAGCAAGATTTTGACAATCCATTTCCTTGTGTCCCGGACCAGGGGTGTTTTGACATTGACCTTGGTGTTGATGTTCAATTTTCTCATGCTTTAGCTCCTCGGGCGGCCATGTCGGGGAGCTGAGTGGGCCAACTATGGAAGAAGTCACACAGAGACAAGGGTCTCCTGGGCAAAAGGACAGCAGCAGCACGGTTGAGCAGCAGGAAGTTAGGTTTTCCGGCCCTCCGAGACAAAGATGTTGGAGGATAGATGGGGACATCTTTCTGCTCACACAGCCCAAGCGGAGACCTGATTGGAGCACCGAGTTCTACCAGCACAGAGCGGCCGGGGACACCTGGACCTGCTTCCATCGGGACTCTAAATCTGGGTCTTCCTATGGGAGACGGAACAAAGGAGAGTAATGCCGGAGACAAGGTGGCCTTCTTGGGTGGAGGCAAGCGTGCTAGGCAGGATGAAGTTTGGATAGATGAAGATGAGCACGATCCGACGGAGCTTACCAGCCCTGGCATTTTACAGCAGTGGTTGATGGTCCTGCAGGAGCGAGCCTTGGATGCCATCAAAGCATTGCCGGCTGCTTGTCGAGAGGATAGGGACTTTGACATGGTTGAGACCAGGGTCTGGGGTCTTGAAGCCCTAAAGCACATCCTCCGTAGTCGATTGGCGCTTCAAAGCAGCTTGATGTTGTGCAGACCGGTGGATCATCAGCCTGAGATTCCACCAGCGGCTGAACTCTTGGCGACCAATTTGACCCTCACCATTCAGAACAAAGGCAACAGGTGTTTCGCCAATGCTGTGTTGAGGATGTGGTGTTGGATGGGGGCACACCATCCAAACCCTGCTGAATTTTGGGGGCCGTCCACGAAGTTGTGCATGCAGATTTTGCAGCAGGATGACATACCTGACATTTTCTGGGCGTCTGAACTGCAGCCGGCCATAGCCCGGCTGGAAAACCCGCAACAACAACACGATGCTTCAGAGTTTCTGGTTCATCTGTGGGAGTTGTGGGGTCAATGTGGTCTTCAAGGCTGTTGGTTCTCACATTTTGGGGGTCGATGGCATGAATTTGACACCATTCCGTTGTTCATCAGGATGCCGCCTGAAGCTGGGACTGAGGTGCAATTTGAAGACCTGCTGGCTGAATGGGCCAATGAGGCCAATGGTCAAATGTTGGGACCGGATGTGGAACATATTGTTTTCCACATTGGGAGGTATTCCCTATGTCAGCAGACAAAGACTTGGCAGAAGCATCAGAACTTGTTGCATACCCCTTCCACCTTTCGGTGCCCACAGAGGACTCAGTCCGGGCATGGAGGACACTCCACGTTTGTTCTGCGTGGCATCATAGCACACCAAGGGGAAGAACTCATCTCTGGGCATTATGTAACTCTGTTGGTTGAAGGAGAAGCAGTTTGGCTGGCGGATGATGGCAAACGTCCTGAAGTGCACAAAGTTGTGCCGGAGCTGATCAAACAAGGTGCAGTCATGATTTGGGCCTCCCGAGCAGAGCAGTCGAACTTTTGGTCCACCACGGTTGGCAGTTTTGAACCGCCCTCCAAAAAGGGCAGGCATCCGAATCAGGAGATTGACATTTGCTATGCCAACATCACCCAATGAACCAAGGATGCCAAAGAATGGATGATACAGCAAGATCATTCCATTGTCATGATGGTCGAAACCCATCTGAATGGAGTCAAAATTGAAGCCGCCCACAATGACCTGTGCAGGCACCGATGGCAGCCAACCCTGCTTGAAGCATGTGATACTGGCCAAGGAGGCAACAGTGGAGGTCAATTGTTCACTGTCAGAGAAGGTCAATCTGCCTACAAGCTACACTCATTTGATCTCCATGGCAATGGGTTCTTGGCGAATGTCCTTCAACGCCAACACATGGAATTGGTCTTGGTCACGCTGTATCTGAAATGTGGGGAAGATTTGAATTCCCAGGCCAATGCCACGGTCTTGGGACAGCTAGCGGCTTTTCTGCAAGAGTTGGCTTCGCCCTGGATAGTTGCAGGTGACTTTCAAGTGCCACCATTGCAGTGGGAAGGACATAACTTGCTCAATGTCCTGAAGGCAGAAGTTGTGTGTGCTGGGCAGCCAACGATGATCAGTGGGGCGGAAATTGACTACGTCCTGGCAAGCAGATCTCTGGCGCCATTCATCAGCATTAAGGTGAACTGGGATGTGCCCTGGAAACCTCATGCGGCGTTGAACATCAAGCTGGATCAGGAGGCACCACGGCTGGTGCTGCCGCAGTTGACTCAGTACATGGCTGTGCCCAAGCTTGATGACCAAGTTCACAACTGGGAAGATTTTCAGGCGGCTCCGAAAGTTTTCTGGTTGGGCAGGCCAACAGGGCCTAAAGAAATCCAATATGCTGAGTGGTGTCACCAGGCAGAGCAATTTGGTTTACAACGGTTGCATGAGCCCAAGTTTGGACGTGGGTGGTACCTGGCCATTGAACACAAGCCTCTTCCCATGTCTAAGCCTTTGAGCCCTTGGAAGAAAGGTGATCTGGCATATTGGGGACAGTTCTGCTCATTGCTTTACCACATTGCTGCAAAGCCTTGCATTGGAGCCAGAACCCTGGCGCACTTGCGAGCCAAAACCGCTGACCTGGCTGTGCGGTGGCAAGATGTTCATGGGCACCAGGAGTTTCAGTTGGGTGTGGAAGCCCTGATTGCTGGAGATCCCTCGCCAGTCACTCTTCTCATCAAGGGAGCTGAGTGCAATCGAGATTTTGCCAAGAAGACAGCATTCGAGCAGCAAGCCAGTGACTTTCAGCAGTGGCTCTCGCAGGCCAAGCTTCGTGGTCATAGTGGCATCTACAAATGTTTGAAGGCCCCGGACAATGTCCATGTGCGACCCTTTCGTGATGTGCCGGTTCAGCAGAGGCAGTTCATGAGGGAGCAACAATGGCATGGACGATGGGGAGTTTTGCCTAAACCGCTGGAAAGTGGTGAAAGAGAACGCCTCAGGTGGGAGGCAATTGTCCAGGCACGCAGTTGGGAAGATCTTGATCCCCATGAGGTGATGAAGAAGCTCCGCAAACTTCCACAGAAAGCATGCGGGCCGGATGGCATTAGTTATGCTCTGCTGAAGAACTTGCCCATTGAAGGGGTCATTGAGATGTGCCACATGTTCAGAAGGTGGGAATTGGCTGGTCGGCTGCCTGATCAAGTGTGCACCACGGTGGTCCTGTTGCTTCCCAAGAAAGCAGATATTGAGA